GCGCCGTCGGCCGCGCCCTCGGCAAGGACGGCAAGTTCCAGCTGTTCATCTGTCTCAGCTTACGGTTGGTATATATTTTTTTATATTGTGAAGCAGCAAATACAAAAGGACCGTGGATTTTTGATCTTCGTCTCAGCTCAATGAATTAAAAATATGAGGTCTTTTAGATTCTCCCAATGGTCTATACTGATGCCCAAAGTGGAACATTTTTACTTCTTAAAAAACATAGTAAGTAGCCTTTGTGTTCTTACAGACTATGTTCTACATCTTTGTCAAATTTTATTGAAATTCGTTTCGGAGATACGACCACGTATCACTAAATAATGTTACTAAACGAACACATATATCAACATTCGCATTTATAATATTAGCATAAAATTTTATATGATTGTGTTAATTCCATGTTAATATTTAATTTGTGTTACTCAGCGAGCACTGGCTGCACAGAATGTTAGTCCCGATGTCGTTGACGCGCGTGACGTCAGAAATGTACGAAGAGCAAAGCTTCCTGCGGAAACGAGGTCTGTTAACTTTCCTCAGACAAATTCTCGAACCTCTAGACGAGTTCGATATCGTTCTGGAAAATTCTCTCACTCAAGGCATTTAATTACCTTTTGTCTTCTTTCCATGTGAGATTCATAGAGCAATAAATTCAGTGGTTTTATTAAATACTGTTAATAACAGGGAATTTCGTAATGTGCTCTCTTTTAAAATAAATGTTATTTCTGTTTTTCTCTCTTTGGCAAATACAGAAATAATTTCTTGTCTCTCTTTCCCTCTTATATCTCTATGGATTTCACATGACAAAAAATTCAAATCGTTTATATCATTGTGAAGCAATAGTAAAAATTAAAACTTATATTCATTAATATCTTTTAGTTTTATAAAAAATGCATAGATTAAAGGACAAAAATACTCAATGATATTATAATTAAATCCAAAGCTCATAATGAAGTGATTATATTATCTGTGAAATATTAGTTAATAATCTAATCTTGCCATCTTATCCCAAAGATTGCGGTACTCTTATAATTTGCGTTAATCGATTTACAATTCGATAAAACTAAATTTATCTTTTATATTTATTATTTTTTAACACAAGAAACAAATTCGTTTTCCAGATCTCTATCCATACTTGTACTTATTTCCACCAATTCTATTTCATATTATTTTTTTATTACAAACATTTTACACGTGTATTTTACATAAAGGAATAAAAGGCACTTGTGCTCTTAATTTTAAATCAGAGGAGATGTATTTTTAACAAAACCATTCCATCTTTTTGATTGTTTTTGCTCGAAAATGAAAAAAATAATAATTTCATTGCCATGGCACATGACACAATAGTGGTATTTCTTATGTTACTAACCCAAGCACAATTATCTGGACTTAGCTCAAACTATATTAGCTTCTCAGTGGATAGAACTATAATTTAAGTATAAGATTATGATTGTCTTTAGTTTTAGGAACAAATGACTATGAAAATCGAATCTCGTACTAAGGTATTCATTTTCAGAATCGGAATTATAATACTGTTTTAAGCCGGTAATTTATGGACATGACAAATTTTTAATTATTGCAAATACTACTAGACTTAAATTTTAAATTTTTAGAAAGTAACAAAATTTTACTAAAATCATATTTTATCTAATAACTATATAATTGTGGGCAGAATTGCACAAAATATACCTTATTCACTCAAATAATATTTATAAAAATAGTTAAAAAGGAAAAAAAACGGTCTTTTCGTTATTTAATTTGATAACTCTGCTATAATTATTGAATTTTGTAATCCTAAAATATTTGCCGTCCTATTTGTGTCAACTTGCGTTACATTTCTGATTCCGTTCATTTTAGTTTCTCTTCAAGAGAAAAAATATAATTTAGTGCCAAACAATTATACCAAGAATATAATTCTGATATCAGTTCAGATACTAGTTTCCAATATTACGCAAGCCATGAGTATGGTATTAATTTGTTTAGGGTCAACCAATGATTTAATTTTGCTTATTTGTAATGGTAACATTTAACGGCGTTTTAATCTTAATACCTTAGTAAGACATACCAAGTCTTGCCAAGTAATTTATGTGTAATATTGCTAAATTGCCGATATAAAAAAAAAAAACATTCGTGATAAAACTACTTTAAAAAATCAAAACCAATTCAACACAACCTGCAATAGACCATAACAATCCGACAACCATATTTTTGATTTATTGGTTGAATTTGTAAAATGTTTGTTATTAGAATGGACGACCATCTATGATAACATGACGTCTTAAGGTATTACAATGCTGATTTGATGCAAACTTTAATGCAAATTAATAATCTATGTATGGCAGAAAAGTGTGATAGGGGCATTAGTTATGTAGCGTTTTGATTGTTTAGTTTTAAAAGAATGCAAGTTATGACGGAATGAAAGGGATTGAGACGTAAAATGTATGTGAAATTGTGCTCGAAGTAGATGATGTGATAGGAAATTTACGATGATGGACACGTAATGGAGGATTTTATCATCATTATGTGCACACACAAAATGCATGATTTGTATTTAAACAATATAGTAAATTCATATTCTTTATCAATCCTAGTGTACTGGAAGTTGCCAGTGTATGCTTTCAGTTATTTAATAATTTAGTAACGCTTAAAATGTAATAAGTATAGCATTTCAACATGACAAAATAGTCAGTACTCAGTACTATTGCACGCGCATTTATTTTCCACTCTTAACGCAATAACGGTTAACGGGAAATTAATGTTTGTATTTTTAATATCAATTTAATTTTAACTATAAATATTTTATACATACATAAAATATGTTTGTGTATTTTAAATTTCAGTTATCGTAATAGAGTGATCGTGAACATTTTTGATTTATTTTGATTGTTATATTAAGTTTAATTTTACACTGTTTTTTTTTGTTATTATTGTTTTTAATATCTCAAATGTCTTCCTAACCAACCTTATGTGCGAACTGTACCAAAGATAATATGTAACTGAAAATTAATAAATGTGAAAATAACGTCAAATTGAGTTTTATTTCTCATTGTTTATTTTATTTTTGTATAACTAATTATTATTTTACTGTCGTATGTTAATTTCCCTGTTTTTGTCCTCGAACTTTAATAAAATAATTTACAATTTAAAATAGACTTGAAGTGACTGTGCTCTGTACTGTTTTCATTGTTTCAAAGTGTTGGGAAGATTGGAAAGTATTTTATGCAAATTATATCAATTATAAGTCATATAGTTGTCTAGTTGGCAGACTTATTCAAGGAAGACCATTAAGTAATGCCAATAGGACTTCATATGTTTTAGGTTAGTTTAGATTTATTAAGATTCTTAAGTAATTTCAGGGAAAATAATAGTTTAGAATGAAAAGTCGGGTATAACCTTTTTATTAGGATGAAAAAAATATTTTGTTACAAAAAGATCAATTAAAAATTGGTCATCCCTAAATAAAAATTCTGGTTCTTGTAATATTGTACAGGAAATTCGTTAACCTAGCAACACTAATTGAAGTGTCACCACAGATTATTTTCGAAAAGAAACACAACTTGTGACAGTGAACAGTATCAATTTAATATCGGACAAGAAGTAAAAGCTAAAATTAATCAATTTAAATTATATAAAGTCTCAGTACTTTTAAAGTCCTACACTAAAACAACCTGTCAATATTAATATATAACGAATTTTTTCGTTTGGTTTTGTCTTTAAAAAAGTCTAATGCATTTTTGCATCGCATACGTTATATACCAGTGAATTTAAAATATCTTTAATTTGTAATTAAAGCCTTTATTTTTTCTTTGTTAACCAGAAGTTCGTGTTTTTAACTATTTTTTGTAGATGGCGCTGTTTCGCTTGTTGTGCGGTCTTTCATCCGACATTCGACAAGTAAGATGGCGGCGATTAATGTGAAAGGCGAAACGTTGTCTTATTTGTACTTGTAAATAAAGGAACAGCTTATTTTCAATAATAAAATAGTGTTATAAAAAGAGGAAGACCAATTTAAAAGTGTATGCTATAGTGTGGAATACTGTGTGTTATATATGACATGACATAAGTGGTTTTTTATTTCACAATAGACAAAACCCGTCGCAACGAACATTCGAAGGAGTCGAGGCCATATTTATGATGTTATCTGTTGTGTGAGCGTCCCCAGAAACCACATTGATAAATATTTTTTGATGCCTAAGCTATGGTATGTTGCTTTTACTAAATGCTTACCTTGTTTAAAATATTGGACTGAATACGTACTTATATTGTTCAAACACATTGACGCTTCCATCCCCAAGGCGGCGGATTATTTTTATTTCAATACAATGTTTGTTCTTTATGTACGTTATATTATCCCGATCATTAATTATAGTCAAGAAATGATTAAATCATGACGTTTACGAGTTAAGGTTGCGAGGTACTATAAATATTCTTCTAATTAGAGGTTTCGTTTGTATTCACAATTGTTTGTCATTACTAAAGATCATTTTTTCATTTCAGGAGTGTACAATCTGTACGACAGTTGTGTAAAACATGATAACAGTCAGTGCTTCAAATTAATGGTACTAAACATACTCTTAACGTGTTCTACAAATTATGGATGAAAGTGTGGACTTTTATTGACAATTTACATTGACACTACACAAAACAAGACGGAGGTGGTAATGGATCCAGTAGGACCATGGTCAGCATATGCTTCTTACAATCGACTAGCGGGGGTACAGGCAGGTGCTGCAAGTGGAGATTTTCATCACCATCTAGCAAGTGGTGGTTCAGGACTTGGCAGTCAGTCTGTTCCATCAACCACAAGCCAATTATTACTCCAGGCAGCTCATACCACAGCATCATTAGCTGGACAACTTGGTTCATCGACAGCTTCACCCTTTAACCCCGGAGGATTTTTATCACCACCTACTGTAGGATATGACGCAGTGTTTTCACCTCTGTTTCACCATGCCAGTCCAAAACCAGCGCACTACAGTTCCTCTCTCCAGGCACAACACCGGCAAGTGATCGCTCAAGCACAAGCTGCAGCAGCATCCAAGCAAACCTCAGTTGAATCTGAACTTTCCTCTTTAAGAGAAAACTATTCCCATCAAACATTAGCACAAGGGACATCATTTTTTGATCAATCATCAACTCCAGGTGGCACAACTGGGTTGAGCTGGCAAGGAAATAATCAACTTCCAAGCCCCTTTGGAATTTTACCCCACGAAAGTGTTGTGCCTTCATCTCCCAGCCCAGCGACAACAAAAGCTTCAGCAGCTTATGAAAATTTTAATGCACATTTTGCTGCTGCCCAATTAAATAATCATCTTAATTCACAAATTGCTAGTGCTGGCAAACAAACAAATAGGTCAGGTTCTCCAGCGACTGCATCAAAACAACCAGTGTCTTCAACCTCGTCTTCAACATTTTTTCAATCTCCTCCTGCATTTGGAAACCAGACTGATAATTCATACAGTGCAAATAGTGCTAAGAGTGGTCAACTTTCATCTCAACAGGATTACGCAGGAAGTAAGTCATTTTCAAGTTCTGCAAGTCCAGCTGCCCCTCCCCAGCAGTCTTGTATTGTGTCAACTCCATCAGCAACCTCCTCTCCCACTCCTCCTACTAAAGATTACCGCACATCATCCACTAATCCAAGCAGGCCTTCGGTTTCAATATATAATAATTCACAATCGCCTAAAAATACAAGTAGTGAAAAGACAGCAAGACCATCTAGCAACTCTAACACTAGTTTTGTATCCCCTACATCTAAACCTCCACAAGTTCAGACAAAAGCCCAAAGTAAAATTTACCCCGAGTTAAATAGTGAACAAAGAAAAAACTGTGATTCCAATGATAAACTTCAACCACAATCATCACCAATAAGTTATTCTATAATGGATGCACCAGGTCGATTAAGCTATAGTAGTAGTTCATCATCATCCAAATCAAATAGAATGAATAGTTCTCCGTATTCTTCTACACAGAGCTCTAGTTTTAGACATTATCAAAGTGGCAATAATGTAGAATCAGATTATCATGTTCGGGCTAAAAGTAGCTCAAGCACAGATACAGGCTACTCTAGTAGTAGTTCACAGAATGGTCCTGACTGTGGTGTAGTTGCAGGTAAGAGACAAAGTCCACTGCAGACTGCACCTCAGACATCTCCTTTGAGTCACGGGTCTAGTCCTGCATATCCATTGTATCACAGTCCTATGAATTCAATAAATTCCCCTCAGCAGCATGGAGATCATTACAAAGTTAACAATTCAGCCCCAAGGTCCCCATTAGATGCATCTGTATCAAGATCACCATCTCAAAACACTCAAGTTGCCTATCCATCAGTTATCACAAGAGCCTTAGGTATAGAACACAATAAAACATTTAATGAAAATAGGTATGAAAGAGGTCAGAACCAAAGTTCCAATCAATCAT